AATTAACCGTTACCCCAACTGCGGGTGCCAATTTTTTTTTTTTTTTTTTTTTTTTGAGAGATTTTTGTTATAGGTCACGTGCCATGTGCACTTGCAGAAGAAGAGAGAGGCAGAGAGACAAAAGCAAGAAATTACCTCCCACAGGGATGGCCATGTCACAATCCCATCTCCTTCATCTTCCTCTCAGGATTTTGGGCATTCATGTACCATTTTAATTCTATTAAAACGCACGCACACACACACACACAATTGGTGGCCAGCTGGTAGCATGGTGGTTAAACCAACAGAATCCCAAATGGCCTGCTGTGCAGTGTGAGTTCCAAATCCAGTAGTTTAAGAAGCACATTGTGGGGGGGCACTTTCTCACTTTCCCTCTTGCGGTCTCTCACTGTCTCTTTCTGTCTCTCTCTGGAGAGTACATGTAGCGCCCTATGGCAAAAACCTTTAAAAAAAAAAAGTGTGCAGGGTGTGTGTGCCCAAGATCCCAAGAGGAAGAAAAAATGAGAAGGGATTGCAGTGCAACCATTCCCTACTGGGGCTGATTTCTCTCCTTCTCTCTCCAGGAAGACATTGCACAAAGGTATGGAAATAAACAAATCCTAAATCCCAACCACTCCTTTTCTCTACCTGCCCTTAGCTAGAAATTATAACAATAATCTATAGCTCTTTGTTAAAAGTAAAACCGATAGCAAAACAGTGTAGTAAGTATTATTATCACTCTTAATTAATAAATTATCTTACCAAGGAACGTGTCTAACATGCTCAGGAAGTATAGATTGCCAACTAAAACTTAACAAAAGGATACTTTTATGGACAAAGACAAGGTTAGCTTGGCCCAGTTGGGAGGCAGTTACTATGGCTGTCTGCTCATCCAATAAAGCCACTTTCCCAGAAAGAGACCTATTATTTGCAACTCTATGGTCTTGTAACTCCAGTGTATAATGTTCCAGGGGAAATTTCATCTCTGTAAGACACAAAAAAAACAAAAATATAATGACAATAGTTACTTCAGCAGATAATGGTGCATTGTTGAATTATACAGAGGAAGATCAGGAAATAGGCCTAAAATGAGTATGAGCTGCTGCTAATTCCTTTCCTACTCCAATGAACTTCTACATGTAGCCATTCGAGGCTAGTAGTTTATTGCTGTTATTGCTTATATTCTTATAAACTGGCAAGCAGACTTGTGGGAGGGATCACTACTAAGGAAAAAGGATAAGACAAGTGCTAATAGAGCCAATGCACTTTATAAACTCAATGGAACTTTTTTCCCCTTATAATTATTTATTTTATTTATTATTATTATTTTATTTTCTTGTTTGAGAGATTTTTGCTATAGGATGCATGTGCGCTCAATGAAGAGACAGGAGACAGAGAGACAGAAAGTGAGGAGTCACCCCCCCTGGGGGGGATGGCTGTAATCCCTTTTTCCTCTACTCTCCTCTTCGAATTTTGGGAACACATGCACATATGCCCTGTGTGAGTTTTAAGTTGCCAGGTCCAGGACTCAAACCGGCTTGATTATGTGGAAGTCTAACAATATAACCCATTATGTCATCTGCTAGCCCCTTATTTTTCTAATTTGACCAGAGAAGAGACAGGCAGAGAGAGAAAGAGAAAGTGAGAAAGCAAATTGCCAGGTCTGGGACTCAGACGGTGGTTGACCATGTGGGAGTCCAGCATTTTACCTACCATGTCACTTGCCAGCCCCCTCGATTGAAATTTTTAAAATAATTACTTAATTGTATTCATTATTGTTATTTTTAATTGATCAGAGAGACACACTGAAAGGGAAAATGAGAAAGCAAGCAGTAGGTCCAAGACTTGAACCTCAGTCGGCCATGTGGGAGTCCAGTGCCTTAACCACTACTCCAGCTGCTGGCCCTGGAACTTTAAAGATCAATTGAGCATTATGTTTTCAGTTTCTCAAGAAGCAACTTTCTTTTTTTTTATATTCTTTTTTTTTGGAGAGGTTTTTGCTATAGGGCGTGTATGCTCGCCATAGAGAGACAGAGAGACAGAAAGCGAGAAATCACCCCCCAGGGGGGATGGCCACACTGCAATCCCTCCTCCATCCTCTTGGGATCTTGGGCACGCACGCACACATGCCCGGCGTGAGTCTTAAGCCACCGGGTCCGGGACGCGAACCACGGTCGACTACGTGGGAGTCCAGCGACATAGCCATTACGCTAACTGCTGGTCCCCCAAGAAGCAACTTTCATAAAGATCATTGCAATGATAATTCAAGCTTCTTCTGATAAAACATCTCTACTCGCCCCACAAAAGCTGGTAAATTTTTGGTGGTTGTCTTAACAGAGAATTCAGATGCCTATGGGCTCTGATGATAATAACCTTACTATGTTGTCAACGTGTTCAAAATACATGGGGACTCTGACTAGCAGATGGTGTAATGTTTATGTTGCTAGACTCCCACATAGTTGACCATGGTTCAAGCCCTGGACTGGGTGACTTAAAACTCACACCAGAGAGCCAGCAGGTGGTGTGGTGGTTAAGGGCACTGGACTCCCATATGGCTGACTATGGTTTTGAGTCCCAGACCTGACAGCCTGGTTTCTCATTTTCCGTCTCTCTCTCACCCTGTCCCTCTCT